ATTCCACCCCTCCCTTTACTCCAGCCCAAATTAGAGCAGAGATTTAAATGTTAAGTTATGCATCAGATGTAATTTGGGGGCATATATTATCCTGGGCCTCAGTCCTAAGGCTTTGTTCATGTGTATATAATGTATTTAAATGTGCACAAGTATGTATGTGTACCTTTATGTATATGAGTACACAAAGTCAAAGAGTGCATGCGTTGCACATATGGAGCTATGTCTCTATTAAGGTCAGCTTGTCACTGCAGTTTTTGACTTCATATAAAAGAAAAGAAATTGTCTTTTATCTTTATTCTTTTTTTTTATTTTATTCACATTTATCCTTCAGCACCTCTCTCCTCTGAGTAGCTGAGGCATTCACACACAGACGACATGTTCCTTATGCATAGATGCAAACAAGTCTGCCAGAAAGAAAACTGACTGCACATCATAACATCAATGCTTTCTGAAAATAAATGGGCGAATGAAATGTAACATAATGAACCTGTTTCATTGTTTTACTGTCTTTCAGTCTAAGCTGGGCTACCTGACACTGTTCTTCTGTACATTTCACACCTACCTGTACGGCTGGGATGAGTTTCTTCAGCCTTCATCCTACAAATGGTTTATGCTCCCTGGCTACATGCTTAGTCTGGTGGTGCCTTCCGTGGTGTTAGTGCTCAAGCTGCTTCTCCTCCTGCCTTGCGTGGACAGCACTCTCACCCGGATTCGACAGGGCTGGGAGAGAACTGATCCCGAGCAAGAACGCAAAAAATTACTCCTAACATAAGGCAATGGCACTGCAGGTACAAATGAATTATAAACACAGACGCAAAGGCATAGATGTCATAGAGCCAGGATTATATGTTTACAAGAAAACTGTTCAGTGTTGTAAACGTGGTACATGTAAAAGCAGCTTTCCTTTGCCTTTGTGTTCGCCTCCATTGAAGCTCAATAATTTCCACATGTACCTCCAGAAGCGTTACACAATGTAATCTGAGATTCTGTGTTGTGTCCTCTATGACATCCTTATAAAAAATAAAGAAAAAAGAAAAAATACTATCAATCTGAACTTGCAGTGTGTAGTGGGTTATGTTTATTGCATTTATAGTTACGTATTTGGTTCTCACTGCTTTTCCTTTGTTCTTTCTTGTTAAACACTCATTATGTTATCTGTAACCACTGTAAATACTCTTTAAAATAAACAGCAGTGTAACAGACCAAGATTGTCTTGTCTTGTCTCTATTTCTATATCTCTTTCTATCCAGAAGCTCAAACTTTGGGAGATTTCCCTGCTGAGTTGGCTGTGTCTCGTTTAGTCGTCTCGATCTGATCCCTCTCCAGGGTTCATCCCTCTGGCTGATCAGATAGCGTTCTCTCAGAAACATTTGGCCTGAAAACCAGCCTTCTCCCCAGTCACCTCTGGATCTCATCACTAGGAAAGAGGAATTTAAGACTCCTCCATCACCGTCGTCTGTTGAAAGAATCTATTGTTGGGTTGTCACAGTTCAGATAGCCCCGTGATGTTGCGCTGCATCAAGTCATTTCCTGAAGTGAGTAAGAACACGTAAACGTCATTTTATTAGTAGCTGTAAATGAAATCTAATCATGACAAGTACAGGTGTAGATGTGAAAGAATGTATTCAAAGTAAAGGATACACCAAGACAAAAAACACGAGAAGGGGTAAAACACACAAAACCTAACTAAACCTAGCATAATGAACTCCAATTCCCCCCCATGGTCCCGAGTTATGGCATGAACCAATTTGTAGTCTTCCTTTAAAGCTCGCTCCGCCCCTTTTCCACCTCTTGGCTCCTTAATCAAGGGACTGGAACAGCTGCAACTAAGGTAACTCAGAAAACAAAAGATTAATCATACATAACAGTGTAAACTAAAATGTGCGCACTTATTTTAGAATGCAGTGTTATGTGGATATGTGAATTAATTCTAAACCAAAACCAGTTATTTATTGTCCTGTAAATTAATTCCTATATTTAAAGAAAGACAAATGTGAATGCAATGTTACTTATAAGCCTCTACACTAACATGGTGGGTATTACCACTGTGTGGCTGTAAGTGCAGCCATCACACTGAGATAAAAACCTTCCGGTCTCATAAAGTTGCCTTTTAAATGGGCCTTATCAGTTAAAGATCTATACCACTGCTGGTGGTGTCAGTCAAAGTTGAACTTTTTGCCCTATCCATAAACGGGGGAAGTGATAACAACTAACTTGAGCCAGTTAGGATATGAAGGAGTGCCCTTATAACGCCATCTAATAAGGACAGTCCAAGGAATGCTATCTCCTGGTAATGATAACACTTAATAAAGCAATTAAAGGACTCCAGAGACAAAATATAAACTAAGAGGCAGTTTTATTGCTGGGAGTTACAAATGAAAATACAAAATACAACGTCTTGACGTGGCAAGGCATGAACCACATACACAGAACTTCAAGCTAGACACAAGAAATGAAACAGAGCACACAGCGCAGAGAAAACTCAGCGGCAAGACTGACATGAAGACTGACGACATGACAGGAAACAGAAGGAAACTGAGGACTTAAATACACGGGGGAGGCAAAACAAAACATAACACACGCAGGACAAGAGACTATCAAAATAAGACAGGAAGTAACACACAGTAAGACCCAGGCTGTATCCCAATTCAGGGTCTGCAGCCTTAAAGGCCGCATTTTAAGGCCGATTACGTCACAGCGACGCGACGAAGGCTGTCCCAATTCGAAGGCTGCTCGAAATGCGGCCCTCATATGCGTCCTTCATTTCCCTGAATTTTAAGGACGTGGCGGTGTAGACTTCATGGCCCAACATATCCCATAATGCATAGCGCGGCAGTGGATGTGGATAATTTTGCAGAAAAAAAACGGCGGATGAGGGGCGCCCGAAGAGTAACTTAGTAAACTAAGTACTGAATGTTTAAAAACGAAGAACATTAAAACATTACTCTTGGCCACATGTCGGCAAAGTTATGTGACATTAGTGACGTTTGTACTAACTTGGTTTTAAAGCCTTTACTTTAAAATATACGCCGTTCAATAGCTGACCTTAATCAGAGAATGATCAAAGCTCATGTAGAAACAAACAAACAAATGAACAAAAGATTTTCTCCTTCATTTCTGTCAAACAAAGCTGTATGAAACGTTTCCAGCTGTTAGTATCATGGTTGCTAGGCAACCTGGGCAGCGCAACGGAGGCTAGACTGTCCCATTTCACAAGCCTCGCACTTCCGGCCTTAGCGGTCTTTAAGTACGCGGCCCTTGAGGATCGTTAAGGCTGCGTACTTTAAGGCTGCAGACCCTGAATTGGGATACAGCCCCAGACTAAGACATGTGAACTAGACAGTGGGATATGACCGGGCTGAGGAACAGAGAAGGAGAGAGGGACACATGGGGAAACATAGGTAAACATGGAGACGAGGCCGACTTTCACAGAAGTCGATGAGGACAAAACAAAAAACATCAAAAGCAACCTAACAATGTCAAACAAGACTAGAGACTCAAGAGTAAACCGCACAAAGCTCAAACTTAAATCATCTTCTTAAGGTAAAAATGCACAAGAAAAATCAAAATGCTGGGTCAAAAATTCAGGACCATGACATAAAGACTTAACACTTATTTGATGCTTTCCTAGCAAATACTCAAAACACCAATTACCTTCTGTTTTGCAAGATGCTAGAAATAAAGCAAGTGCTCGTTGGTATTGATGTGTGATGTCCATGTGAGGGATTGTGTGTTTTTGTTTGTTTTATTGTGACATCCACAAGAAAATAGCTACACACCTGGGAATACCATCAGCTGGAGGGCACTGCATGGAGTTACAGACTTTAGAAAGAGTGCTGAACAGGCACATGCACAGATAGACCCCAGGTGGTGCTCAAGCACCTGACCCTTTGGGCAGGAAAGTTTTTTCTCCCACGTGTGTCTATTTTATAATTTTACATTTTAATTTCAAAGTAGTCCCATGGCATCAATTCCTAATTGAAAGCATGTAATGCCCAACAATTGTGTTTTTATAATTCTGCAATGCCGTACACCCCCTGGCCTCTGCATCGCCTTTCCTTGTTGTCACAATCAGTTGCTCGTGCCATTGAAGAGCTCTGAAGAGCAGCGTCACATCTCAGACCTGCTTTTACTGATTACAGACAGGTAACATTAGTGTCTGCACTGGCCTCATCCACATTTGTTATTGCTATGTAATTAAAAACCACTAAAACACATCAATTTAGGCAGTTAAACATTAGCAATTATACCGCAACATTAGCTTATCAAATGCAAGGTACTTTAAAATGCACAAGAGAAGTCACTTTCACTCTTTGTATGACAGCAGAAATAATTACGTGATCATTAGTCTAATATTTTGGAATGTTCAAAACTGAACTATTATCAGTACCATTGTTCATTACATTATTATTATCATTATGAATGCCTTAGTGTAATACAGAATAACCATTAATTATCATGTACAACGTTAACTTTGAATTTACCAATGACAGCTCTATGAGAACAAAGGACATGTTATAAAACAGCAAGACAGAGATCGACAGCAGGCGTCCCTCTCCTGTCCACGATCATGCCATCAAACAGTGAGGAAGATGAAAGAACAAGTAGCTTATATAAGCAAGTAATAGCTGTGGTCCTGGATACCATTAGATTTTTTAATATATATGCCACCAAAATTTGGCCTTTATTGTGTTGTTAGCTATACAATGTAGCATCAGCTACAACTCTTAGGCATCACTTTGAGAATTTTCCATAATAATTTCATATCTCACTGTTTTGTTTCCCTTAGTCAAACGTTTTGAGCTCATTAGTCTCCCGTTTATCAGTTCATGGTTTAGTTGAGTAGTAGTACAAACCAAGGAAGTTTCAACTGAACTGACCTTCACCACTGTAGAATTATCATCATACTGCAGATTACAGCAAAAAAGAAAAAAGTAGGAAAAAAGAAGAAGTGGATGAAGGAAGTGAACACACTGACACAGACAAACCGCCAGAAATGGGGAAGAAGTATATAAAACTCAAACTTTCACAGCATTCACAACTGCTGCACAGACAGTACCAGACACAGATTTCAAGGTAAGTTGAGACTTTCAAAACTGGCATGTGTAAGAACGTAAACTTCATTCTGTTATATACAAAACTTCATTTTGTTTTTACAACGAGCAATACAGGTGAAATAGATAATTTACGCCTCTATTGTTTATTGTAGGAATCCAAAGCAAGCAGTAAACTGGTGTCACTAGTCTTGAGAATAATTCGAAAAAGTTCCATTTATATAATTAGGTATAATTTGTGCTTGTATTAGATGAAGCTGTTCCCTGTACTGGTGATGCTGACAGCATGTGCTGCAAGACCTCAAGGTATTTTGGTTTTTTCTGAACAAAGTGAATACAACAGCAGATTTCTACGATGTTCATGTATTTTGTTATTCACTTTTAATGATACTTTGTTTTTTAATTACGTTATTAAAATTTCTAGCCAATATTTGTAACAAGACTGAAAAACAAAAAGGATTTACATACATTTAAAATTTGTATTTTTAATGTTGTTTCTTTCTGGCTTCATGTGAATTTGACTCATTGAAAACCTTTGAGAAAAATATAGTATTTCCTTCTTTTAAGTTTTCTTATTAATCTTATTAATTTCTTATTAAATGTGAGTGTTGGTGGGACCCCGCGCACATGCTTCTCTGTGTTCATAATTTCCTGCATTTTCCTTTTTCGTAAAAAAAGGAAAACCACTTGAGAAGTGTCTTCCTCTTTCTCTCTTCTCAGATTTGTCTGGTAAAATGTTCACTTTCCCACTGGAATCCAACAGAGCTCATGTGAGGCTGAATGCGTCGAGATTGGATTTCAGTTCTTTAACACTCTGTCACAGGTAGCAATGAATATGTATGCATTTCCTATAAGAAGCAACTGTATCTCTGATTGTGAAATAAGTCATCCTTTGCCATGCCTACAGATCATTTACAGACCTTAAAAGAGACCACGTTTTGTTCTCTCTGGCTACACCTGTTCATTCCAATGACTTCCTGATCTTCTGGGATGGTACAAATAAAGAGATTGAGCCCCATATCAAGGACAGGAAAGCTGAATTTGGAGGACGAGACTACAAGCCAAACATGTGGCACTCTATCTGCACCACGTGGGACTCTGAGTCTGGACTGGTGCAGATTTGGTTTAATGGGCTACCTTCGATTAGGAAATTTGTCAGCACTGGAACAAACATCGTAGGACCTGTTATAATAATTTTAGGACAGGTACATGTTTTATTGATAAATTATAAATACTTATTTAGAGTCAGTCAGTCACTAATAATGTACTATATGTACTATAATATACGATGTAGTTTTAATCTATTGTATCTCAAACACTGCATTCTTTACAGGAGCAAGATTCCCACGGTGGCGGATTTGACATTAAGCAGTCTTTCGTTGGCATGATGTCTGACGTCCACTTGTGGGATCACATCCTTTCCTCCTGTGAAATTCAAAACTATGTGGATGAACTAAACTTCACGCCAGGGAATGTGTTGAACTGGAGCGCACTGGAATTTGAGATCTTAGATAAAGTACTGATAGAAAATAAACTCATGACGTGTCACTAATCAGAAAATTACAAAGTCAAAAATCTGGTCAAAAAACTACTTTGTTTTTATGGCCATCATAAAGAATATTTGATGATTTTTTTAAACCCTTTTACGATAATCATATGAAAGCGTTACACTGGTCGCTGTGATTACGTTACATGTTGGTTAATCCATGAACAACATTGAGAACAAAAACTGGTGAGCATAAATATAAAAAAATAAAAAATAATTTTACGAATTTCTAATTGTAAATTTATTGTAAAGTGAACAATAAATTGACAATTCATCAACTTGTGCTATAAATGTTTTTCTAGTCAGTGCATGACAATAAAATGTAAAAAAAAGAAAAGAAAAGAAGAAGAAGCTTTTTTTTTTTTTTTTTGCCAAAATATCACCATCAGCACTGTGTCACGAAGTGCAATCGACAGAGAAGTCCAAACTTCTCCATTAAATCTGAAAACTCTGCATCTCTGCTTAAGTATTTCAACTTAATCTAAAAGGCGATGTTTTAGATGTCGCCCTCTACTGGCCAAAACTGATAAATGCAGTTTTTTTCCTTGATTTGGCTTTTTTTTTTAAATAATCAGATCGTTCGAGTACTATTTGTGTAATTTTATGATTAAATGGACCTATACCATATACACAGAAGACTCTGGGATTTTTATTGTTTATGTGAGTAGTTCCTTTTTGACAGATGCCCCACAGTGGTGCAATCCGTGAAACTCACAGATGAACACACACTGTGTAAGAACACTGATAGCTGTGTTTGTTTTATTTGTTTAGATCAAACATGACAAAACACATAAAAGTGTTTTTAGATTACCATAGAGCTGTTTAACGCACACATCTATTAAATCTTCATGTATTTACAATACAGAAATGGCATTGCCATGAAAATTGTGTTGCTATGTTCAGTTCAAATGTTCAAACGATCAATGAGTGTAAGTAAACAAGTCCAAGGAGCACATGCAGGAGCAAACAAGTGCTTTGCTAATAAAATGGGGGGAAACGTGCACTCACGTGGACTTTTGATTGCCGTGCAGGTCGTTCTTCAGCCAAACAAATACTAACTGTCAATAAAAGTCAATAAAACTACTTCTGCCTTTCATGCATCCAAAATCAAAGTGAAAGTACAGAGACTTGATCTGTAAATGACTGCAGAATATCAGCTCTGGTAGAAAAACAACTCACCAATCACCTCTATTTTTGATATTTTTGTTGGGAACTAAAGAGAACCTCTTGAAGGCTTGATTCTTAGTGTTAGTGACCTTCTGCATTTCCACTAAAAAATAAAAAAAATATAAATTCAACAGTAAATTTGCATTTCTTACATGTAACTTAGCACTGGCTGGAATTAAATAGGACACAATAATGCTATAAAGTGCGTAAGATATTTTAGTTTGGACCAAACTGTAATGCAACTGGTGACCAAAGTAGGACTTACAGCTTTATTTACAGTCTCCCACTTTCAGAGGCTCAAAGGAAGTTTATCAAACTAATATAAGGATTGTTTTAATATGACAATAGGATGAAAATTCTTTACTGTCTGGAATCCAGAACCCATGAACATCATCCGATGTGTGTTTCCTGGCTTTAGATGCTCTCCAAGGCCTTTATAGCAGCCACATTCACTTGCTGCTTGTTTGTGGGTTTTTCAGCCGTCAGTTTTGTCTTTGGAAACTGAAAAACTAATTAAGTCAAGTTAAATTTGGTTTAATCTGTCCAAAGATTTGTTTCCTGTGCATGCCCTTTTACATGTTTTCTGGCAAAGTCTACTCAGCCATTTTTGTTCCAAGTGTAACCAGTTGTTAGCACTTTGTAAACTCTGCATTTATGCTCAGGAAGGTTTAGCTTGGTTGCAGACTTTAAAAATAATATATCTGCTTCATTGAGATTGTAGTTTCTTAACAATGGTCTTCCAGGCCTTTTGGCATTTAGTGTGCAGCAGGTTTATTTTATTTTTCACCCTGATGATGGTCATAAGATGCAAGAAAAAGCTACCAAATTACAAGTTTAACACTTTGAATTATCTCCAGATCTTTTATCTGCTAACTCTGACATGAAATATTGAATAAACAGATCTGATTTGGCCATGAAACTACTCATATAGATAATACAATTTTATATAATATATAATATTGTATTATACATTGTCGCAGGATGCCCTGAGCTACAGAAAACTTATTTCTAAGTCAAATATTAAAAATCTAAGCAATGTTTGATTTGTAATATGAGTAGTGTCTTTGTATTAGATGGCACTGTGGCTTCTATTGTTGATGCTGGCATCATTGGTGCCAGTCCTAAAAGTACAGAAGATAAATATTAAAATGACACTCAAAGAAAATTCATGCTGATGAAAATTGTGTGCATGATTTAGATATGTTAAGTTTTAATGCGTGTTATCGCTTAGTGGTTTGATTTAAGGATGAAACTAACATTACTAGATCTTAAACCCATGCCTCCTACAGCAACAGCAATAGATAAATTATACAGGTTGTCCATAATTGTATATCTATTGTCTTATAGACTGTATTTTGACTGTATGGCTGCTCCATAAATTCACTGACTTGTTGTGCACTAACAACGAGTTCACCAGGCTAAGTAAACAAGTCCAATGTCCAAAGGTATGTCAGAGATAATGAAGCTTTGGCAAACATAAATATCAGAGTGGATTAGCGGGAATTTTGGCAGCTCACAAGGACGAAGTTCATATTTTTGGTAGAGCAGCTTTTAAAATGTTTAATGTTTCAGAGAAGACATGCATCTAACTATTAAAGATGCTTCTATCATATACTTCTATAGACTGTTTTAGACTGAGATATGACAACAACACAACTCATTTGTGTGTCTAGAAAGGAGGGAAAAAATGACGGCCAAGTCCTCACTAAAGCAAAAGTACACTGAACTACTTTTGTTTCACAGGGTAGATAATGCTCATTTCAATGCTCTAAAGTAATATTGTTTTAAAGTAATATTGTTTTAAAGTAATATTGCTACTACAACTGCTTCCTCTTGCCCATAGTGGCCATAAAGAGATCTCAGTTAGACAAAATAACAGGATCTTTCAATGGTGCACTTTTGTACAAAATGCCTCTGTGTTACTGGACTCACTGTCTATGGTCATACAAAGGAGGGAAAAGAACTTTCGAAAATATCAATTTAATCTGACTAACTCAGACTCCCAAGCTTTATGGTAGCATAGAAAGAGGACTATGGAATTCACTTTTCATTGGAGAAGAGACCTCTTCTCAGCCATTATAATTAGAGCAGTAAATACACAATGTCATGTGAAGCATCCTTTCAGAGACTTGAAAATGTGACCCACATGTTTCAGATGTTAGAATGACATCGTAATACATTATTTTTACTATTGCTTTCATAAATCCTAGTGCAGTCGAGCGCAATAGGTCACCGAGTGCAGTAAACTGATGGATTTTACATTTAACACCTTTTTTTTCCTTCACAAAAATGCAACTATATAGTATTCAATGAGTAAATGACATGGTATATCAAAATGTCTATTAAGTGTTACGGGTCTGCTGTTCTGTGGTAGCAAGTTGTTCTTCCTCTGTTGTTGACTTGGCTGTCTCTGACCACTACTGTGTGTTTTTTAACATCACCGGTTTTAT